CGTGCGGGGCGTGTTGGCGGGAAGTTGTGCCTGGTGCATAGATGGCAGATCTATCCACAGAGAGAAGAGAACATTGGCGTGAGGTTTTTTTCCTTGGGCGAGACGGAATTGTTCTGTGGCATACGGCCTTGGACAGTCTGTCTGCGCCTTTGCACAGCAGGAGTCAACACTCACCCTTAACGTGCAGGCTATCTGCCGTTCCTGGTGGACGGCATGTAGGGTTACTTTGATTTTCAGTCGATCCGATGAAGTGTTCAGTTTTTGGTTTTTATTTTATTTTTTGAGACGGAGGTCTGGCTCTGTCAGCCCAGGGCTTGGAAGTTCCAGTGGTGCGAGTCTGGGGCTCACTGCAGCTCTGTCTCCCGAGGTCACGCCATCGCTGCCTGGCCTCAGGCGTCGCCGGCCGAGTAGCTGGAGCTACAGGTGGCCGCCACGAGCCCGGCCTGAACTTTTTGCATTTTTAGTAGAGACGGGGGTTTCACCGGTGTTCGCCAGGGGACTGGTCTCGAACTCCTACGGGTTGTTTGTTTGTGGGTATGTGTGTGTTGCCTCCAGAGTGCGTAGTGATTACAGGCTTGGAAGCCACCGCGCCCGGGCCTGAAAAGTTAACTTTAAGACTTGCTTGATATGGCAGAAAGTTTTAAAAGATACAAAAGAGGTTTAGATTTATGAAAGAAAGTTCTTTCCTAATAGTTGGGCCCCCAGTTTTCCATCATAGAGGTATACTGTTACCATTTTTCTGTGTCTTTCCAGGGACCTTCTGTGTAAATAAGCGTATGCATTTCTTTTTTTTCTTTTTTGAGACGAGTCTCGCTCGTCACGCCAGGCTGGAGGGCAGTGGCCACGATGCTCGCTCACGCCAAGCCCTCCAACGTGGTTCAGCGATTCTCCTGCCTCAGGCCTCCCGAGTTGCTGGAATTACAGGCATGCGCCACCGTGCCCAGCTAATTTTCTTTTGTACTTTTAGTAGAGATGGGGTTTCACCATGTTGGCTAGGCTGGTCTCGATCTCCTGACCTCGTGATCTGCCCGCCTTGGCCTCCCAAAGTGTTGAGATTACAGGCATGAGCCACCGCACCCAGCCTGCACTTACGTTTTTTTAAAACTAAGCACAAGCAAAGGCACGCACACCATACACACTGTTCTGCCCCTGTTTTCATTTTCACTTCATGTCTGCATCTTTGATGTAGAATCAGAACCTGTCGAGCATCCTTGTCCTTTTTACCGGCCACAGTGAATTCCATGAGATGAACATATTGTGATTTGTTTATCTCGTCCTCTTCCATAACGTCTCTTCCAGCGTATCCGCCGTCATTTCTGGCAGAATTTCTTTTTACCTTTCTTTTTTTTTTTTAAAAGGACTTCCCTTTGGTCGCCCCAGTGCGCGCTCCGGAAGTGCATTCTGCCGCCTTCCCTCTGGCTCACGCACAGCTCTGCCTCTGGTTCTAGTCGGCTTCTGCTAGCCTCCAGCCTCCCATTAGTAAGACTGCGGACTACAGAGTGCCTCCACCTATGCCCGCCTAATTTTTTTTTTTTCTTTTAGTAACAATGGGGTCTGTTTCCCACAGTCGTTACGCCCAGCGCTGCCGTCTCTCAATCCCCCTGACGCTTTCGGTGATCCCCCACCACCGACTCGGCCCTCCCAAGTGAGAAATTCTTGTAATTCGTAACCACCTCCCTGAAGTCAGCATCCGTTGGACCTAAGGGATCAGCCATCACCTACTTTTTATTCTTTTGAGACTAGTCGGGCATCTGATTGCCCACCAGGCCTGGAGTGCACCTGGCTCGCGCAATTCTCTCCTGCCAACCCCGCCCTCCCA